GTGGCATGAACTATATTTTTATAAAAATTTAGTGGAAAAACTTAAATTAAAAAATGTAGATGTATTGTGCAACGATTTCCCGTCATCCCTTGCCAATTTTTGTTTGGAGACAACCGGTTTCGGCGTTATGTCATCTACAGTGTCTTCTTCGAAATATAACACTGAAGATGCATAACGCCAAAACCGGTTTGACTCCAAACCAAAATTGACTAGGGATGACGGAAAATCGTTAAACAATACATCATATTCCTACCCTGTCGAAAAAAAACAACCAAAACTAAAATTTTCCACACATTGTGAAAAATTCCCTGTGCCGATAATTTTGTGCTACACTGTACCTACTTTTAATCGTTGTTATTAGAAAGCACTTTTCGGCGCTTGGCTTAGTGCGGTCCCCTTCCAGCTGTAAGCAGAAGCCAATTCGTCACAAAATACTTTTCGGACGGCGGTTCTTAGAAATTTTGCGGGTCCGTCACCGCCTGTTTTTGCTATGAATTCTTTCTGAAATTTTTTATAAAAATACTTGTATAACCAAATTCATATAAGAAGTTAAATAAAAAACATACAAATTGACACTCTTATCTTCATTGTGTTGTATCTCGCCATCCAATTTTTCTAAATCAGCAATAACGGCCAAAGGAAGTTTTTGTAAATCTTCAAATTCATCGATTGATGTGATGTCATTGTGGTGCCTTCTGTTTTCTAGCTTAACAGCTATGACCTCCTCTGTTAGTTTGGTAAATGCTCGTTTATTTCCATCCTTCAATTCTTTAATTTCTTCTTTTAAGCTCGAAATTTCAGACTTAAAAAAAGATTTAATCTCGCCATGTAAATCTAGTACAAGAGTTTGAAGGCTGTTGGTTTCAGAAGCGTAAACATTTTGCACTGAAAAACAAATCGTTTTGTTTACATGGAAAAATAATGGGTTCCAGTTTTAACTTACAAGTTGTTAAATTATTGGATGGGGTGTATTGAAAATCTCCAGAAGAGATGAAATTATTCTGCGACATTGCTAAGTTGGGGTGTGAAAAAATAACTGTTGTCAAAAGAATCTCGTAAACATATTACTTTTTTATTTATTTGATTTCTAGAAAATTGAATTTTATTATCAAAAGCGATGTCAGCCGCCGAATACATATCAAAATTACTTGATTCGATTGGTTGCAAAAAGGGAGCCGTCAGATTTGTTACTT